TAGCCTTTTCCAAGGGGTTTCTCTGCAGCGACGCTTATTAGTTCTTCGCCAAACCGTCGTATCTACTGCCTGTGCCCTAACTCTGTTGGTTACTATCTGCCAGAAGGCAATCCTTTCTCTAACATTGTCTAACCCATCGGCTACAGATGTCCAGAGCGGGAACGGGAAAAATGCTGTGGGAACAATGGGTGAAGCAGATGGCGCGCAATTGGGTTTCCCTATGCACCAATTTACGCGCAGGTCATAGCCCGTGTTCCGAGGACCTTGAGGGACGTCTTCGCCTAAGGCGATCCTAATATATCGGCCTTTTTGTTTCAAAGCGACACAAACATCTAATCACAGTCAATGGAAAATGAAATGCTTTCAACGTTGCTTTATTTTTACCTTTTTACCTAAGATCCTTGAGCGTTACCGGCGTCCCGTTGCTGGCGACAACAAGGGATCGGAAATGAGTGCGTCAGTAGGCGAGCACACAGTTTTTCTCCAAAACAAAGAGCTCGTAAGTATTGACTTTTCGCATTCATGTTCTCGATCCTCCGAACATTTAATATCGTATGCGAAATCACTACAGAAGGCAAACCAGGGACGAAAAGAAGAAAACAGTTTTGTGGGTGTTATAAATTTTGCCCCCAGTTGGAGGGTTGTTTGGAAAAGGAAGGCTGTACTATCACTGGAACAGTCTCTTTATTCATGTGACCTTTGGAATTGGTACTGGAGTCTGTCATGAGAAATAAAAGCGGCAAAAAGTAAGCAACCGCTATTGGTCGGTCAATGGCATTCAAACATCAGTAACGTCAGTCCGAAGGTGACTGCGCAGGGCTCTGTATGCCGGTGTCAGACCGATATATCGACTGGCTAAATTCTCATCCGAGGTTCAGGCTTCAATCATTTTACGATTCGCCTTGCTTCCGGCTTAGACCATTGTCTTCTTGGCCGCGAAATTAATGTCGTGACCCGTATCGTGGGTTCTAACGACCCAAAGCAACCACGGACGGCAGTGTCATAAAAATTTATGACTGATTAAGTCTTAGTAAGCAGTCGGGTGTATTATATCACATCTCATGTCTAAACAGTCCTCGTAACTACACAGGTTAAACTTAAGGCATGTTCGGATTGAGCATACACGAGTACAAGCTCGCTGTAAGACGGTGGCTGCCCATATCAGCGAACCGGGTCCAGAGTTTTAGTTCGCAGTCACGACAGTAATCGCCCCCACCAAAAGCAAGAAATGTCCACGTTTATCTTGCTTATGGCATAGGTGATTATCTTCGCAGACCTTTCGCCAAAATGTGAACCGTCTCAAGAGGTTCTCACATTTTAGCGGGCTCTGAGTCATTGCCTGACTCATCAAGTCTCCTGCTTAAAATATGTTGCACCAAACCTGACGCTATTATATCTTGTAACCTTGAAAAGCGCGAAACAGCTGCAGTCGTGTGGCCTAGTACGTTATCTAGCTTATGTATAAAATTTTAACTGAAATTCGGAAATGCACTTGATGTTATAAGTGATAATTTGGGCGCGGTTGTAACATTAATTGTGCAAAATAACCTCTTTTAGGTGTCTTGTGACAAAACAGTCCCTTTAATTGAGAATTTGCCTTGTGGGCGGAAAATAGGCGAGTGTGTAAAGTTGAGTGAGGTAGATGGCTGCGATTCAGCTTCACTGCGAGGACATTCGCGCTCAACTCAGCGCTTTTGCCCTAATTACGGTGATGGGTCTTCTCGTCTATAACGTTTTATTTCAACCAATCTTACGCTAGCATCTACTCCCGGCCAAAGAAACCCGGAAACATTTTTATCCTTACTTTATTCTACTTCTGTGTCTTAGATACCTGAGCCTGCAGCGTCAGGCGTATTCGACCCCAACAACGCATACCAAACGAATGCCTCACCGGCGTCCGGGTCGGCCCCTTCCCATGACCTGACGGGCAATGAGCAGGAGCCCGTAAGTGTGACAGATTTGGAATGTCCATGTTCTGGATGCTACGAATTTTCAATCATGCAAGCAGATTCGCTGCAGGGTGTGTAACTAGCTACGAAACCAGGAGGATGTTTTTGTGATTGCTAAGAATTTTGGTCTCCGTTCTAAGACAGTCATTCGGGTGCTCATGGTTGTTAGCCTTTTGAACTGCGAGCCCACCTAAGATGAATGTTATTTCTGTGATGGAGACAGGGTCAGTGGTTTGGCCCCTTCTTCCCTTCAGTGACGCCTCTTATTTCCCTGATTGCCAGAAGGTATCTAACCCTGATGCCCTCAGGTATGCATTTAAAACTTTTTCAAAACTCAGCTTTATCCCGAATGAGGCACTATGTCGAAGGAAAACGTCATCCTTACTGTGTCCATTCGGCAGTAAACTCACTATGAGGTATTTGAAACTGTCTACTTCTTCAAAATGACAGTTATTAATCTCGAGAGCTGCCTTCTCTTGGACAGGGATGTAGCATAAAAACACTTTGGTCTTCCCGGAGTTTATGGCCAAAACGACCGATTTTGCGACCTAGTTCACCCGTGACGCCATAAACCGTAGATCGCCAAAGCTTGTAGCCAGTATAGCGATATCATCGGCATAGTCGAGGTCAGTCAATTGACGCTCGGGTGCAAGCTCAATAGCCTCATTATCTAAATCATTTCATCTGTTTTTAAACCGGCCTTTTATGGTGTGTAACTAACAAATGGTCCATTGCAATCACGGACGACCATACTTTACTGGAGAGAGCGGAGTGTTGACTTGCGTTAAGATTCTTTTTTTAAGCGGACATGCGCTGCACACACCTCAACCACTATTCCAGTACCACTTGTAATTGAATGACAATGAGTCACAGTGACTGACCTAGTTAGAATACGCGTTTGTGATACGAATATCGGTAGAGCGCGTATCTTTCGCCTTCAATCTAAAGCCTGTGCTGCCCCCGTATGACAAATCGGTCAGCTGTCGCGGCCGTTTGGTAGAAAAAGCAGCATGCACACAGCCAGAATACGTATGCAGTCAAACGCGCCTGAACGAGCATCAATCGATTTGGTGATTTGTGCGCTATCTCGTGTTCTCCACTGAAGCTGTGGTAGTGTGACAGTCCATGATCAGCGTCACTTTACTGACTCATCGTGCCTTCGCCTGCCAAGTCTTTG